GGTTGTACCCGAGACGTCCCCCCTCCTGGTGGCTCTTTATACATAGAACAAAATTCCTCAATCCCAAAGAAAAGACAGGGATGATATCTGTATCTCTGGAGCATTCAAAGTGCATTAACGCCTATACTTTTGCCCCCCCCCCCACCGTATGTCCAACTTCCCCTCCCCAGCTCTGCAAGGTCTTCGAGGCTGAGGAGGGCAGCCCTACCTCTATCGAGCTTTACCCTCAGTATAGAGGCTGCTGCCATGCACCTTCCAGTTATCCTCCTTCCTAAAGGAAGTTCCATGCTGTTTTCTATTCGGAGTGGTGTGGATATGGAAAGAGGGTGCCGGGGCTTGTGGATTTCATGAGGCCAATTTGGGTCCGGCCAGGCAATTTTCCTCCCTTTGCTATCTCTTCCGCCCAAAGCGTGGCCTGGACGTGGCAGCTGCAGCTTCCAGTTGCAGAGGCCTGCCGTTTGGCCCGGTGTCCTGGCAGGTGGAAGAGAGTCAGAACTCATTAAGCCATTTGTTCACCCGACCCCATTTTAGCTCTCCATATGGCCATATAGCTGGGAGAATGAAGCCCAGTTAGACTTCTCCATCCCAAAGTAGGGGAGAAGAAGGGGTAGCTGTTGCTCCTGCTTGCACACCACCCTCTGTTTCTAGGCAGGGTAGCTAGAGAGGCTTGTGTGTACTAAGTTCAGGGCATTAGCCCCACTTGTGCCTAATCATGGCACAAACATGCCCTGACCGCATTTTTTTCCTGCCATATCCTCATGATATAGCCTTCCTCTCTCATCCTCAGTCCATGAATGAAGCGGGCTTAAGTCCTGAGCTGTACAAGTGTTAAACAAGTGTCCTCCTTCTTAGTCACACAGTGCCCGGTCTGGATAAAATGGCTTCATCCCTCGTTACTTTTGAGGGAAATCAGGAGACTGCAGTAAGGAAACAGAGGGAGGATAGGGATTGGTGGTGGCAGTGGCAATTGCATGCCAGTATGGTTGGCAGCCCATTCAACGGGTACTGCATGAGCTGTGCAGTGGGGCAAGCCCCTCCGTCATCCTGTCTACAGGCTAAGGAAGCCAGGGATGGGCAACAGCAATCGCTTCTACCCCTTGCTCATCTTGCCCCTTCCAGTTGGCATGGAGGGCCTGGCTTCCTTTCAGTGCCTTCGGAGCCAGGAAGGCAGCGGCTGGCACTTCTTTGTACTGAGTAATGCCCTGGGGTCCAGTCATTCCCACTGGGCAGCCCAGACGAGAAACACATAGCTTTCTATTGTATCAGGGGAAAAAAAACCTGGGGGGAGAGTGGTTAGTTTGGAATATTTAATTGAGTGTGTTTATATTATCTGAGACCTTGATAAAAACAAAATGAAAAAATCCTTCATTTTCTGCCCCCCCCCCCAACAACTACCCTGTGAGATTGGGTCAGCTGAAAGAGAATGACAGGCCTAATTCATCCAGTGAACTGAAGTATGAGATTTTTTAAAATAGGACACACGTGTACATACATACATACATGCTGTTAACTTTTTACACACTGATCCCAGCTGCTGCCTTTTTTTTTTTTTTAATTTTAGCTTAGCTTGGGTCTCCTGAATTTATGGACAACACCTTACCACTGTATTATGTTCTCTCAATAACAGAGTTATACAGAGTAAATTTCACATATTTTTAGCAATGTGCAATATCCTGTGGGTAGAAAAATAACATTTAACCTCTTCATCAATTCCTTAATTTTTGAGACTGCTTCCATAGCTGGATAGACAGATGTAGGGGCATCATGCTAGGCAGAATGAAGCTTATTTGGGATGTCATGAAAAGTCGGCAAATTCATTTGTTATTTTATTCTTACATTTTTACTGCTAGGAATGAGAATGGGTGCTTTAGTATTTTCTGCATCAGATGCTAAAACTGGCCTTTAGGCTGCTTCTTGAACATCTCTGCAAATAAAAATGCAATGATTTTAATCTTATCAATGTAAGAAATTTGTTGCTGTGGCTATATTCAGAGTCTCTATGAAGCATTGCTAATATAAAAAAGAAACAGCAGTTAAAGAGGCTTACTATGCATATTATAATTTAGATATTTGTTGTTGTGAATGCAGTTGTGACAGAATTATAATATTCATAGTAAGCCTCTTTAACTGCTGTTTCTTTTTTATATTAGCAATGCTTCATAGAGTCTTTGCTTGCAAGCCAGTGCAAAGTACTTATTTTAATTCTAAGAAAACAAATTAATATTAATTAAATGGACTGAATACAGTTACTACAAACATTTAACCATGATGTTTTCTTTTTATCAAATAAAGCAGCAGTAATTACATTTATTAAGGTCACACCATTTGTAATTTAACTAAAAGATTATAGTATTATACATTTGGCAGGTATTGGAATTTTTTGTTAAAATATTACAGTAATATAGTTTAGAAGTTGTTGGGAAAACTTTAAGTATAGATACACTCTACACTGTACTGTTGTTTTTTTTCCTGCCAGCTGGAAATCCACCAATCACTTTCCTTAACTTGTGCCACATAAAAGCTGTAAGAATACCACTTGCTGGCCTTGTATAGAGGCTGGCTGTCAGGACGTACTTTTGTGCTGCCTCATGGACTGGAGAAAAGTATATTAAAACATTGTCTTAGATAAGCTCACAACATATTCTAGCATCTCTGAACTATCACTGTGCTGATATAATAGTAATGAAGTTAAGTTTAATATTGCCTTAACAGTGGCCTGATGATGCTATAAAGACTCTAGAACAGTGTTTCTCAAACTTGACAACTTTAAGATGTGTGGACTTCAACTCCCAGAATTCCCAAGCCAGCGATGCTCTAGAATGTCTTTGGTGAGGATATTTATTTGTTTGTTTGTTTGTTTGTATTTCAAATGTGTTACTGACCATCTCACTGCAAAGCAACTCTAGGCAGTTTACAGTAAAAAATAAATATTAATTAAAATACAC